GAGAGTTTACTTTGCCCAGTCAGCAGGTAGAGCCAGACCACTGCAGTAACTGTACACAGGCAGAAAGAGAGAGGGAGGGAAAAGCAGTAAAGAAGGGAGAGGACTGACAGGCGAAGGAAGAGGTAAAGCTACCGTATTTACAGAGCCATACGCAAATAATAACAGACTCTTATTATTTGCTGTCACTTCAGTTGTGTTGCTGTATATGGTTGGCTGAGTGGCATTGTACTGTGTGCAGTGCTTTTCTGCTTAGCTTACACACTGGCAGTGTATCTGATCCAAGACTTATTGACCATCTTTTACCTTTTTATAATAACTTATTGTCATAAAAAGGCCGTATATGCAGATTCAGGTATTGACTGATGATATTTGACACAGTTTGGAGGTATATTTAATGTCAGGCTCTAATGTTTTATACATTCAATGTGAATTTAAAGATAATAAGTGTTTTCTTACTTTCTAGTACCTTTTTAGAGAAGAAAGCAGACTATTGAGACACAGTTTACATCACAACAGACAAATCACTAAAAAGGTTGAGTGTGTGTGTGCAGTGTTGCGGCTAACGACTTGGGTAGCAGCTGATTCCAGGGTGCCATGTCCCCAATTACCTTGGATCATGTCACTGTGATGTGATTGGTTGAGCGGCTGTCACTGTCTCCTATCATCAGGCGTTGTAACGGCCAGCGTGTTGTCCTCAGGAGGCACACAGAGCCGTGTGTTTCTAACACCCAAACCCTCGCCTCATGTCATTTTTCTCTTTGTTCCTTTGCTTGTAGTTTTTCTTGCTTTGCTGTTTCTTTTTCAGGATTCGGGAATAAAGTCGGGGCTCAGACGTTTGCTCCATTTCGTTTCTTGCAAACACGCTTTGTCACTTGACATCTTGCACATTTTATTTATTCACTGCTTAGTTGTGTCTATAAAGTTTATTTAAAATATCAGAGGTACAGCTGCAGGTGGACAAGAAATAAGCTAACCAGCTAACGTTTTCATCCTCTACAATTACAATACACAGACAGTACAATACATTTTGCACATCCATTCATTGAGTTTGTAATCAGGTTAACTGGTGGCCACTCAGAAGCATTTTTGATTGTTTACAGCTTGATTTACTTTTATTAAAGTGAATCTATTTTGCTTAATTCTGGCACTGATTGTTTGAAGTATTTTTTTTGCTATGACAGGAAGAGAGTGCAGAAGGGCTAATGCACATAAAATGGCCTGGAGCAGAATTGAACCTGGGCCCCTGCAGTGGTATTTTGGCATATAGATTTCTTGCTCAACCCACTGAACTACTCCAGAACACAGCAACAAATATTCAGTGAGGCTTTGCTAGAGTAGCTTTGCATGATTCTTGTACTGGGCCTTGGTGCACTCTGTCAGATCTGTGTGAGGCAAACTGTTGTAGCTCTTCTCCTTTAGGGCCGTCATCACTTTGAACCTGCTTTTTACTGCTTCTGATATCCTGATTACTGCATTTGTCAGAGACCTGAGTGTTTACATCATAGGGATCACAGGAAAACTTTGGCCATGTTTAATATGAGAATGCATCATTACAACTGTGCACATGTGAGAGAAAATTAAGGACGTGGAGTCTTTAAGGTGAACCTATACTTCCAAAAATGAAGCAGCAGCGTGTTTATATGAGTCTCAGGGACAGACAGAAAACACTAAACTCTTGGTTCATCGTCTTCTTGTTCAGATCCAGGTGATCAAAATAGAGACGGAGGACAACAGAGAAACCCGCTCTGCCAAGGATGCGCTGCTGCTTTGGTGCCAGATGAAGACTGCAGGGTGAGCAGTGAAATAAAAACACAGAAACTAGAAGCTCAAACTGCAAATTTCATGATTATTTAGGTGTTATACTGTATATCTAGTCAGGATGTAGTGAGAGTAATTTGGAGCTCTTTAAGATTAGAAAGCATTTCTCCATGTCGCAGGTACTCTGAGGTCAACATCCAGAACTTCACCACCTGCTGGAGGGACGGCCTTGCCTTCAACGCCCTAATACATCGACACAGGTAGGACACACCTACACAGCATAGAACCAGCTAGAAGTTCACCATGTTTTCACTGTTAGTATGTGTTTTTACTCCTTTTTTTAGATGCAAACACGTTACCAACAAAAAGACGAAAAATATTCACACACACTTTTAAACAAACACGGAGAAGCGGTGTGACTGACATTAATTTTAAAATCACAACCATACACAAATTTTTGTTTTTTCACGTTGTGCTCTCCAGACCTGATCTAATAGAGTTCCACAAGCTGACACGATCCAATGCAACCCACAACCTGCAGCAAGCCTTTAACATCGCTGAGCAGCACCTGGGCCTCACGAAACTCCTGGACCCTGAGGGTGAGAGTCATGCAAACCACACTCCATGCTGCAACATCCAAAACAGTGCAAAACCTGCTGCACTCAGTAAGATAGACAACATTTTTCTTTGGGAAACGTGAGATTAACTCACACTTCAAAGGTTCTCACAGCTTCTTTCAAACATTATAAGTTAACTGATTTTAAAACATGAAGCATGTAACAGTACACAAAACTAGAACTAACATTCAATTTTTACCAGAAAGGCAGATGCATATACTGTATTTCCCGGACTACAAAGCGCACC